TCCCTGAAGGACAACAAGACCTCTTCAAGCCTAGCACCGCACCAAATCGAGTCTACGAACACAAACTTTACAACCGGAAATGATTAGTTCTCGCCAGTTGGGACACCCCTGCCTTGTGCGGGAGGCACGCCGCCTCCTTCTCCTGGTGGGGCTCTGTCTCATTCGGGGCCCAGCACTCCAAAAGATCACCTCCAGCAACCAAGGGAAGAAATTAGCTCCCCCTACACTTCTGTGGAATCTACAAGACCCCACCCTATTATCTCCGCTGTTTGGTCACCCCTGCCCGGGGTGAGTGGTACGCCTCCACCTGCCCCCGGTGGGGCTCTGTCTTATTCGAGCATCGCTAACAACGAAAGTCAATCCTCACTATCTAATGAATATGGATCCATCCGGGCCACTTTATCGGATCCAGCAACCACTAACTCCGCTCCGACTTTGCCTAAGCCAGTTCCGTTCCTCCTCCAATGGAATGTGGACCATTAAACGGGGCAATAACATTCGGCAATCTACCGCTATCGGCGTTCTAAGTAGCATCCCTTCCCGCCTCATCGACCTGGATACCGACCTACCCGTAGTAGGAGTTCAACTGGAAGGAGACTAGTTTCGGCATATCTACCGTGCGGCAGAATCCCAAACATCAATGGACACATTTCGGAAATATTATGTAGCCTACTTGAACCTAGGCTCTTAGTAGGGGACCTTAACGCCCACCACCCTAACTGGGGCGATACACGCACCAATCCAATAGGCACAGCGCTGGCAGACACCTTCGACCAAAAGGACATGATCGTTCTTAACGACGGTTCTTCTACCTTTTTCAACGGCAGGCAGTCCTCGGCCATTGACGTGGCTGCTATCAGCCGCTCCCTTGCAAGCAAGGCTACTTGGACCGTAATCCCGGACCTTCACGGCAGTGACCACCATCCAATACTTCTCCAGCTCTGCGCGGGGTCGACACCTGTAACGATGCGGCGTCCAAAATGGCGATACGACCAGGCAGACTGGTTGGCCTATGCGATTTACGTCAATACTCTATTAGAGCAAAAGAATCCTACCGATTTTCCAGAATACACGAGCATAATCCTAGATACGGCACGACTAACCATTCCCCGGACTGGCCCAACTCCCGGGCGAAAAGCTCTTCGCTCGTGGTCTGAAGAGACAAAAGCGGCAGTAAAAACAACCGGTGGAAACTAACTATTTTAAATTGGCTCACTTCTTGACCAGCCTATTGGTCCCAAGCAAAGCGATTAACGTACCCATTCTAGTCAAAATTCTAGTACTACACTATGTTTGTTTTGATTCGCTATAAAAGTTTGACAGATAAAATGAGGGGTAAGTGGATTTTCCTATGTTTCGAGGGGTGAATCGATTAGCTTGGGACCGAAGATAGTACCAGAGCTGAGCCAAAAAGTTGAGCTCGTTTCTTCGGGACCTTCTGGTCTTAGAGTTACCTCTATGGTAAAAGCTAGACGAAAGGCACTTCGGTGTGCCAAGCGCCTCCCAGCCAACCACCTGCAAAAGGAATTAGCCCTACAAACATATAGAGAACGACACAACCAATGCAGGCAGACCATCCAGGATGCCAAACGAAATAGTTGGACCGACTTCCTGGAGAGCATAAATGCTTCCCAGTCGTCCGTGGACCTATGGGGAAAAGTTGATTCCCCGCTCTCAATCGAGACTGGCGGAACAAACATCACCGACCCTGATGCCGTAGGTGCTGAGGAGCTCGGCACCTATTTTTCCAAGCTTTCCACTATCAACCAATATGAGCCCACCTTTCTCCGCAAAACAAGACCATCTACTGCCGATATCGCCAATTTCCAAATTCCACAAGACAGCATCAACTCTTCAATTAACCAAGACTTTTCCTTCGTGGAGCTGCAGTTTGCATTGCGATACAGCACCGGCAACTCGGCCGGCCCAGTAGAAATAGGTTATCCCCTTCTAAAAAATCTTCCTATCGGCGAAAAGGACAAATTATTGGACATTTACAGCGAGATGTGGCGTATTGGTGACTTTCCGGCCGTTTGGCGAGAAAGTTTGGTGATCCCGATCCCAAAGGCCAATGCCACCACACGAGGTACCGATACATTCCGTCCGATTGCGTTAACCAGCTGCGCAAGCAAGGTGCTAGAACGCATGGTCAATCGTCGACTTCGCGCTGCATTGGAGGAAATGGATACCTTGACCACCGGCAGCACGCCTTCCGGGCAGGAAAGGGAACCTCCACGTATTTCGCTTTGCTGGGAGAACACGCAGGAAAAGGGCCACCACGCGGAGATCGTCTCCTTGGATATCTCCAAGGCCTTCAACAGAATATGGACCCCGTTAGTACTTCAAGAGCTCATCACCTGGGGATTCAAGGGAAATATCCTTTCCTTTATCCGAGGCTTTCTGGCAAGACGATCGTTTAAAGTCGCCGTGGGGAACACCAAGTCTTCTTCTTTCCCGGAGGAAACAGGGGTGCCGCAAGGCTCGGTTATCGCGGTGACGATTTTCCTAATAGCGATGAACAGGATCTTTACTCGTTTGCCACTTAACATCCACATCCTCGTCTACGCGGATGACGTGCTAATTGTGGCCACTGGCCGCACCATCGCAAGGACCCGCATCCAAGCACAAGCAGCTGTATCGGCAGTTGCCAAATGGGCGGCCTCTCAGCTGAAAAGAGTATCCGCTGTCACGTCTGCGCTTCCGGTCACCGAGTCGCCGGCGCCTCTACCAAGATCGGGAATCAACCGATCTCCCTGAAAAAAACGATACGCATCTTGGGCGTTCTAGTTGATCGACACTTAGCCTTCACGCAACACTTCCAGAGCGATAAGGATAGTTGCACACAATCTCCATGCAGCACCGCACCAACAACCGAGCTATCCGGCTGCATGTAGCCAAGGCAGTTATTGACAGCCGTCTACTCTACGGTCTGGAGCTCACCGCAATGGCCAAGGACAAACTGTTGCAAGGCCTTGCACCGGTTTACAATGGCTACATACGGTCTCAGGTCTCCTGCCCTTGACGCCGGCCGAGACCATTAAACATCGAAAGCCGAATTAAGGACCAGTTTAGGGCAGGAGACAACTCGGCGGCGCTCAGACAGTCCGTCGTGGAGATGCTAAGCTCCGGGTACCCCAGGCATACGCATCGTTTTACGGACGGGTACAAATCGCACAACGGAGTTGGGTTAGGCATTGCGGGAATGATCTCGCCAACGAGCTTGAGCCTACCGGCACAATGCTCTGTGGCAGCGGCGATTTTCGAAGCAGCAATCACACCATCCGACCGACCAGTCCTAATCCTCACGTATTCACACAGTGTAATTTCTGCTCTCTGGTCCAACATGCCCACTCATCCGTGGATTCAGGGGATCATCAGACATGCCCCCCCTCCCCTCCACACTATATTCGCTTGGGTTCCGGGGCATTGTGGCATCACTGGCAACTCCGACGCTGACAGACTGGCCGGGGCGGGACCATCTGGTGCCAGGTGTAACGGATTGATACGCATTGCTTCATGACCGGGTAAGTAGTAGAGTGGGATTAGTTTTCGGTACCGGGTATGAATTGGGAAACGTGATAGCACGATGTATGATTGAACCTATGAGCGAGTGGGATAGCGAGATAGCGATACTGGTTGGTGTTGAGTGAGTAGCAACAGGTGGGTCACTCAGTGTTCGACAGTGCCATCAAACAGACGTGGATACGAGTGCGAGTCAGTGTACAGTTAAAAGACGGCGTGTTACACCAAGTACACCGATGAAGATGAAGTCGAAACATCCATGCAGGCTAGGTGGCAAGATAGAATGGTTGGCAAACCATGGACCGCTTCTAAGGAAAATCAAGGAGAGCATGCGTCCATAGAAGGACCTTGGGAACCTGAAGGAGCAACGAGTCATCTCCAGGCTTCGCACAGGTCACACCCTGCTCTCACACGATTTCGGCGGAGTAGTTTTCCGCAAGGCCTGCGTCGTCTGTAATATTCCAGCCACTGTCGAGCACATCCTCTGCGTGTGTCCAACACTACGGCCTTTTGGGGAATATCGGCGACATACTGGGCAACGAACCTTCGATCCTGGCTTCCCTGGTCTTAAATGTCGTCCAACCAAAACTTTCAACTGCGTTTTTTTCTCAAGGCAGGCCTTATCGCTCTGATATTTTTCCTGCAAAGTGAAGAACTAGCCAATGGCTAAAATTCACTTAAATAAAAATAGTAGGTCCCGAAGAAACGTGCTCAACTTTTTGGCTCAGCTCTGGTACTATCTTTGGTCCCAAGCGAATCGATGCACCCCTCGCAAACATAGGAAAATCCACGAACCCCTCATTTTATCTGTCAAACTTTCATAGCGAATCAAAACAAACATAGTGTAGTACTAGAATTTTGACCATAATGGGGTACGGTAATCGATTTGCTTTGGACCAATAGGCTAGTCAAGTAGTGAGCCAATTTTATATCATTAGTTTCCACCGGTTGTACTGAGCGGGAGCAAAAACGAAAACTGAACGAGAGCGCGAACGGTAGCTGCGGGAGAGCGTCTGATTGAAATGTTTGAGCTGAGCCAGTTGTGTTGAATGAAAGCGCGAAAGAATGATCGAAACTGTCAGAACAAGAGCGAAAATATTTAATAAGAAGACATTTTCTATGAACCAAAATCGTATAAAAACGCGTCTGGAATGCCGCAGACCAATTGTCATTTTGGATATTTTGACCAATGGAATTAAATTACTTTTATGTATCTCTATAGAGACCCACGTCAATCATCTCTGGACCAAACGAACTCCGATTGGCCCATCAACTACTCCGATGAAAAGCAATTTCAGTTTATTGCATTAAAACCCTTGGGGCGTATCCGACTGCCCGCTGATGGCCAGACAGCCGATGTGGGCGATCTCAATTTCAATCAAGACCGCCACTTATTTAAACTACCATAACTTTAACGATAACACTGAACGCGCCCAGTTCGGTGCGGTTTATCGAACGAGGGTGTATTAGAAACTTACCGTACAAAGTCTCGAGTGGCCGTTTTCCACCACTCCGAACTGCAGGGCCTGTGGGGTGGCCAGCCCGAATGCCACCAGCCAGATTGCGATGACGAACTTGATAGCCCGTGACAGCTTGGACATGGTGTGCGATCTGTTGTTGGAAAGGAATGAAGAGGGAGCAAACGGGAGAGGTGCCTAATTAGTCCCTTTTGCGGTCCGAGGATAATCGAGTTAATTTAGAGCGAGGGTGCCTGTGATTGAAAGGTCCATACTCGTAATCAAAGTTGTTTGTTTGTGGGATAAACAGTTTTGGATTGCTATGAAGCTTGCATGCTTACCGAAATGGATGACAGATGGCAATGTACCGCTCGACGGTGAAGGAGGTTATCGTCAATACCGTGGCGTTGGTCGCCGTCTCCGACAGCAGCCCGGTGATGATGCAGGCCACTTGGTTGAAGGGGTACGCGAATGGGTACCACGTGCCGTACACCTCCAAGGGCATGCCTGAAAATATGGGAAAACAAATACCGAGAGAATCAGATCGTTTGTCATTTCGGAACTATAAATCTTACTGGGAAAAGTTTTTCGATTGAACTTCGTTTACATATGGTTGTCTCTTTGCATGAACCACAAATTCAAGAATAAACATCATTTATTTTCAACTTTAGGTGGATTTCCAACTTGAGCAATAACCTAGGAAATTTCAAACAGATTGTGCAATAACAACGTTACGTTCGCTTCGCACGACATGAACGTATGTTTTTCCTTTTTATTCAATTTTCTATTCCCAGCACAGAACTTCTATCGAAAAGGGAAAACATGTCGATTCTTCTCAGAGTATCCTTTTCTCCCATTTTCCCGCACATTCCATGCTAAACTTTTCCCAATAAACACACTCTGAGTGTAAACCTTGTTAGAAGAAATATATCTAACATGAGCTCCCTAACCCACCCGGAGGGCGAAAACAAATTCCAAACAAGGTTAATAATTTCGAGCTGACAATAAACGACGCTTCATTTCAGTATCCAAGCGAAGCTCATCTTCTTTCCATCATATGGGGATGTGACTACATATATGTGGAAGCGGATCGAAACATCAGATGTAGACATGTATTCTCTCTCTCTCTCTATTATTTAGTCACATGGACGTCGGTAGCAGATCCGAGCATACTTGCTTGTAACAAGCTGACGAAAAATGGTGCCAGCCTTCCATCCATTGGCGATGTTACCCCCTTGCGAGACGGTAAAATTTTACAAGCTAGTCATCTGATTCGCAGACCGTTTTCCACGCTACACGTTTCTTTGCTTTTACGAGTGCTTGCCATATTCTGTTAATTTATTACGGTTTGAAAACCTAAGGGCTAGAGTCATTGGTATGTACAGGTTTAGATATTCATTACGATGGGTTCTTTGATGTTCGTGTAGAAGATAATTCAGGAGCTTTTTCTCATACAATTTGCTTCGTCACGTTGCATTTATCTCATCTTGCTTCTTATGTGATGAGGAGAAGCTTTTTGACCATGTTTAGCTGGTGAATGACTGCCTGATTTCACGTTTGAATTAGAGTCAACACGAAAAAGCAGTCCTAGGCAGCTTTTCACGCTCGCTATAATTTTCATTTGATTTGACGTTTGCCTGCTATTAATTTTATGGCTGTGTTGTAGAAGGCTTTCACGATAAGATAAAATTGAAATACAGTCACCCCAGTATTATGGGCCAGCTAGTCAATATTATGGGTCAGCCAGTTCGGTGTGTTAATCAAATGGAAGTGGCCCATAATTGTGGGTGACCCATAATACTGGGATGACTGTAAAAGAAAGGAAGGAAACTCGGTAGGTAATTTTAATTTTTTAATGTTTTCCCAAATTTATTTCCATGCAGGATTAGAACATACTAGAGAGGATCTAGTATAAGAGAGGAGCGGACAGGCTGGTTTTGAGCCAAACGAACTGTCCAAGCCAGAGCCAATCGAGCATCAATGACGTTTATATAAGGTCCGGGCCATCAGGAAGCTTGCTGGTGTTAGAAGCAAGAATATTGTAAACATTGCAGAGCACTCAAGTGACGACGTCACTCTACCATAACATTCCATTCTGCGAACAGTGAGATTTACGTCACTGCCAACAGCTGTTCCGTGTAAAAAGATAAACATTGCAATGAAATACGAACACCACTAAACATTTGCACATTTCACTAACACCAATAAGCCTGTTGGCTCGGACCTTATATAAAGGACATTGATCGAGCAGCGCCTATCTTGATTGAATTGGCAGTGTTGCTAGAAATCACCTAAGCATATGTTGCCGCTCCACTCTTATACTACACCCTCTCTAGAACATACACACTTAATTCAGATCACCGAAGTCGGTAGAATTTTATCGGGTTTTTAAACAGCAGAACTAGTCGGTAAAATTTTCAAATAAGCGTTACATACTGATTTTTAAACTTTTACCGAACAGTTCTGTAGTTCAAGATTTACCGAACAGTGGAGGTCTGGATTAGTGTGTAGATTTTATCATATTTCTTCGCGAATAGAGCCTTGATAATTTATTTAAAATTTGAGTTAGACCCTAGGCCCAAAACTGAGAAACTTGTGCCATAATTGGCTCACACACACTTATCGTAAAAAAAAACAAGAAATTTAATTTTATTCAACGCCAAATGACGAATCGGAAAAACTCAAGGGGTAGGTCACTCAGCACCTCAATCTTGGGTCATATTTTTTGTCAGTGTGCCGCAGGTGTGCCGATTGTGCCGGTCATAGAGCAAGATGTGATTGTTTGTAAAATACCCATCCCGGCAACCCGGCACCTTGAAGGTTTTGGTTTGAAATCGCAGGGATAAATCGGATTGAGGATGACGCGTAAGTGGCGGGTGTTGGTGTTTCATGTTCATAGGATGGTAAACGTCCTGTGTTTTAGGGTTTTATAATGCCCTCAAAGACAGACCAGAAACCTAGCTTATCGTGCTGTGAAAGTAACGGTCCATCAGTGGCCGGATACCGCCTATAGAGGATGATGAATAGACTTCTGTAGTTTGTTTTGTGTGAGTTGAATCATTATTTGAATTAAGGGTGCTAATGAATGGACCCACGCTAGAACCTTCTTCTTCTTCTTCTTCTTTTTCTTCTTCTTCTTCGCATTTCAAGCTTATTGCTTATCGCATATTAGCTTATTGCGTGCTCTCAACTTAGTGTTCGAGATGCACTTCCACAGTTATTAATTGAGAGCTTTCGATGCCTGTACCATTTTTACATTGGTATAATTGTGTGGCAAGTCCAATCATACTTCTTTGCCCAGGGAAGTCGAGACATTTTCCAATCCGAAAAAAGGCCTAGACCGGACCGGGAAACGAGCCCAGCCACCTCCAGCATGGTCTTGCTTTGTAGCTGCGCCTTTACCGACTGAGCTAAGGGAGGTCCCACGCTAGAACCTACGTTTCGTATTTAGATCTATAAGTGAACTGCTGGTCTGAGTTCCTCCGGTATATTCAATTAGAGGATGTTCCTAAATTTACAATCCAACAGCACGTAATATTGGGAACAACTTCAATGACAGTTATCCAGCAACAACCTATTGCCAACGAGATTGTGCCGAAGGTGTGCCGATGGATGTGCCCAAACTGTGCTGAATCTAATTTCGGTACAATGTGCTGAGTGACTTACCCCTTGGAAAAGTCGACCTTCTTCGATTTGCATGAAACTTTGCCTAATTGTTTGTAATGGCAGTCATTCATATTTTGGACCCTACCTATCGACCCGTCAACTCATAGACCGGAAACCAACGGCTTTACTTCCCTTCCGAAGAAAGGCGTGATCAGAGATGTTATGCCTCAGAAAATCCCGACGGCGCCGACTGAGATTGAACCCAGGCCCTTTGGAGTGAGAGGCAGTCTCTTTTTACCACTGCACCACCGACTTTCATCGCTGGTCCTTTTCTTGCAGTCTCTGTTAACCAGTCCTGACGGTAATTTTGTGCATATTAAAATCAATCTTTGGCCCTTCTTCGTACAATTCGAATCGTGTTTGCTTCCAAGACTTTTATAGTTTCTCTGTAAATTTTAATCGGACCATGTTGCAAGAAATCCGTGGAATACCAGATAACCATCGGTCGATCGTTGTTCCCTTAATTTTTGCAAAGAAGTACCACCATGTCAGTAACAATAGGATTTTTTTCACAGATGGGTCAACTATAAACGCTTCCACTGGATTTGGAGTATTCAACGAATTTCATCGCGCCTCATATCAACTGCAAAAACCCTGTTCCGTATACGTTGCGGAACTAGCAGCCTTATTCTACGCAGTAGAGCAAATTGTCTCACTACCTTCTGACAATTATTTAATTTTTACAGATAGCCTTAGCTCATTGGAGGCTATTCTTTCAATGAGGCCGATGAAGCACTCCTCGTATTTCCTGACCGAAATCCGAGCCAAATTGAGTACTTTATCTAACTGCTCCTATACCATCGCTTTAGTCTGGGTCCCATCTCATCGCTCTATTCCGGATAACGAGAAAGCGGACTAGTTGGCTAAAGTGGGCGCTGTGGAAGGCGATATTTTTGATCGACAAATCACCTTTGCAGAATTTTTCTCCATTACCCGTCAGCAAGTCCTCTCCAACTGGCAACAAAAATGGAATGAGAGTGATCTGGGAAGATGGTTACATTCTATTCTCCCACAGGTGTCGATCAAGGGTTGGACATGAACCGTGAATTTCAAGAGGCTCATGTCCAATCACTGCTCGTTAGATTAGCATTTCTTTCGAATCGGGCTCGCAGGTAGCAATTTGTGCGCTTGTGGTAGTGGTTATCACGAGATCAACCACGTGCTTTGGTCATACACCCTCCATTGTATTGCTAGATCCAAGTTATCCGCATCCCTCAGGGCCCGAGGAAAACAACCTTGACCTTGAAACAGACAGCTTGAAGAGCCGAGATCTCGACTATTGCAATTTAATTTGTGTGTTTTTAAAACACATAGATCTGAGGATTTAGCCCATCGATGTACTCCCATGCTTTCCTTTTTCATCAGTTTGTCGCCTAGTTCGAGATCAAGAGCACATTGCTCTCCAAACCTTGTGTTCTCAATCCCTACTCTGCCATCCATTTGATACAATTTTACCCCTAACCTCAAGATAGCCGCGAGTAATCGGCCCCCGCTTTACTAACGTTAGTTTTAAGTAATTTTGTAATCTAAACCATTAATATCGACTCCACAAAGCAACGGCAAATGAGCCTGGAAAAATAAAGGCATTATAAAAAAAATCAATCTTGAACTTAAATATCAACGACGATCAATCAGCGACCAGATCAAAACCTGGATCACAAATTGAGTCAAAATCAATACCTCAGTATATTATCTTCCCCTTATCCCATAATTTTGTTTTAAATAACCTCAGAGAAAGTCTGAGAAGCCCATCAGTATTCCGTTCAGGATTGCGTTGGAAATTGGCTGACAATTACCTTGAAATACTGTTTAATAATCTCACTTCTAAATGACTTTGGTGT